AAAATCGGTTTTTAATTACACGTAATTAAAATCGTGCTTTTAATTACATGTAATTAAAATCGTTCTTTTAATTACATGTAATTAAATTCGTTTTTTTAATTACATGTAATTAAAATCATGCTTTTAATTACATGTAATTAAAATCGTGCTTTTAATTACATGTAATTAAAATCGTTCTTTTAATTACATGTAATTAAAATCAGGTTTTTAATTACATGTAATTAAAATTGTGCTTTTAATTACATGTAATTAAAATTGTTCTTTTAATTACATGTAATTAAATTCGTTTTTTTAATTACATGTAATTAAAATCATGCTTTTAATTACATGTAATTAAATTCGTTTTTTTAATTACATGTAATTAAAATCATGCTTTTAATTACATGTAATTAAAATCGTGCTTTTAATTACATGTAATTAAAATCGTTCTTTTAATTACATGTAATTAAAATCAGGTTTTTAATTACATGCAATTGAAATCGTGCTTTTAATTACATGTAATTAAAATCGTGCTTTTAATTACATGTAATTAAAATCGTTCTTTTAATTACATGTAATTAAAATCGTTCTTTTAATTGCTTGTAATTATTTTTTTTCTTTTAATTGCATGTAATTATTTTTATTCTTTTAATTGCATGTAATTATTTTTATTCTTTTAATTGCATGTAATTATTTTTATTTCTTTTAATTGCATGTAATTATTTTTATTCTTTTAATTGCATGTAATTATTTTTATTCTTTTAATTGCATGTAATTATTTTTATTTCTTTTAATTGCATGTAATTATTTTTATTCTTTTAATTGCATGTAATTATTTTTATTCTTTTAATTGCATGGAATTATTTTTATTTCTTTTAATTGCATGTAATTATTTTTATTCTTTTAATTGCATGTAATTAGGCCTGAGCAGCTAAGAGCTGCGAAGGCCTATTGTTTCTGTACTGTTTCTTCTTCTTCTTTTTATTATTATTATTATTGTTAAAATTGTAACCATGTTATGACAGATAATCTGGACCTCCTCCACATCATCAAGGAGTCTCAACGCTGTCAATCATCCTCTTGTACTCACTGCTAAATGCCCCGCTGCTTTAACACACGTAATATGCTTGAAAATAAGGCACAAACAGTGTTCGTTAGAATGGCTGAGAAATCTTTAGATAATTAAAGATTTTTACTAGAAAGCTAGCAGGCTTGTGCTAGCAGTTTAAAGAAAATAAAACTCACCTTCATATCTGTGAATGTATAACGAGGCGAACATCTTAAAACCTTTCTTTGGCTTACTTGTTGGGGTTTCGGATCGATGTACATTATTAATTGTTACCTTGGAAAAACATTTCAGCCGTTTTTCCCGAACGCGGAAGCTGAGGTGCAAAGAGCCCATTAAACTTCTCCGGTCCAACAGAGCCTTCTTGCTCAAAAGCGTGGTTCGGATTTGCAACTCCAAAATCCAAGCAAAATGTTGAGCGTAGTCCAGTTCTGTGGCTCCAAAAAGCAGGCAAAATGTTCAGGAAAACTTCGCAGCTCCAGCTGTCGCGGGCTGACTGTTATTACGTAGCGTCGATCTGTTTTCTCATTGATGGAGTACCACTGCCTCCTGCTGGCGCAATACTGGTATTGCACCAGCAGTACCAGTATTTCGCCACAAGGGGCCAGTGGTACTCCATCAACTCTGACCCCAGTGTGTTCTTACTTCGCTGTGTCATAAGTTTTGCTGAATGACTTTGTTTGTATTATTTCTAGCAAAAATGAATGAATGTTTGTACTGTACCCCACAAAATAAACTTATATATATATATATATATATATATATATATATAATATATATATATATATATATATATAAAGTTATAATAATGTATATTTAAATAATTAATAACAACATAACCTATGGGCTGCTGTTTTCTAGGGGGCGCTATAGAGAAATTAGGCCACGCCCACCAAATATTGTGATGGATTCCTGTCGGGGAGTTGATGGGAATCCATCCTTGTGAGTTTGGAGCAGCTGGGCCCAAAAATGTGGAATTGAGAGCCAAACGTATGGCGATGGCGTTACAGGTCACTTCGCCACGCCGCCACGCCCACCTGCTCCATCGTAGCTGGTCGGGGTTGAAATCCTCAATACACCAACATGTCTTCGGTGTCTGGTCACAGTTTCATGTTGATGAGGTCAAAGGGGTCAGATAGCAACCTTTCACAGTAAAACATTACACTTCCTGTTCTCAGGGGGCGTGGCCTAAGTGATGTCATCATTCGACCATAGGGTATTGTAGGAAACCCGATGATGATCAATCACTGAAACTTTGGTGCCTCTGTGAGTTTCTGTGTAGGAAATATAGCAGTTTATTTTTTTACGGCGTAGCTGAACTTTGACCCCTGCTAACCCCCCTTCAGCATACTCAAAAACTCACCGTTTTGATAACTTTAGATGGGACATGCCTTATGAGCAGACTGACCGAGTTTGAAGTCGATCAATCAAAATCCCTAGGAGGAGTTCGATGAAATAGGAAGGCTGTAAACGGCAAAAATGGGGTCAAAATTGGACCTTCAATCCAAAATGGCTGACTTCTTGTGATACTTGCACTATGACATTAATTGTAAATTTTGAGCGTCTTGGGAAGCTCTACAAGTGTACCAAATTTCATGTCTCTAGGATAAAGTAAGTGAATAGCAAAGGGTCCTTTGAAAATTTCTAGGTGGCGCTATTGAGCCGTTTCTTGTGGGATTTTTGTGATGACCTTAAAAATCAAAATTTTTAAACAGGCATAAGGCCCCCAAAAAGCCCCCCAAAGAGGTGGGAAGAAAAAAAATAAATAAATAATAATAATAATAAACAATAGAAAAACAATAGGCCTTCGCAGCGCTTAGCTGCTCGGGCCTAATGAAATCCTGCTTTCAGACTGAACACGTGTGCTCTCTGATAATGGCAGAATTCCCCCATAAGAAATACTGCTACAGGTACTTCCGATGGTCGCCGGAAGTAAGACCCATAACAGTTTCCACAATAAGCCTCCCAGGAATAAGGTGGATAGAGCTCCCACAAAACATGTCATCAGCACCCCGCAAACAACATAATCTTGTACAACTCATCTTTAATCAAAGTACCAATAATAATAAATGTAGATATATTTGAATAAATCGCTTCCTACGCGGCTCACCGCGGCTGCGTCGTATCCGTCTCTAGGCAACAGAGTGAGTTCGTGTGGGTTCCAACGGCAATAGCGTTTTGTTGTGGTCATTATTATTACACTTATTGTTGAGGTGTGTGTGATAGGTGTGTCTATCAGACATTTATAGCAATACGGAATAAATCGCGTCCCGTATTGGTTCAATACGGGGCGGAGACATCAAGCACCTGTCATTTAGGCTAGCTTAAAGCACATGTGTCAAACTCAAGGCCCGGGGGCCAAATCCGGCCCGCCATAGCTTTTTATGTGGCCCTCCACAGACTAGACTAAACACTAAGTGTGATAAAATATTATATTATCAATTATATCAATGCAGTTCTTATCTGTTTACTGCCAATTTGTGTCAATCAATCCCTCCAGTTTCTTGAGAATTTAGTTGATGTATGATTATAATCCATGATTTATACAGTGGGTAAATAGTCGCATTTATTCCTGAAGGGACTGAAAAGCTCTTCAATAATATTATGTAATTTTAAGAATTCATTGACATATTAACAGTTTGTGAACAGGTTTTATCAACACATTCTGGCACAACCGGCCCTTTAAGAGCCTTCATGGTCTTGATTTGGCCCAAAACGAAAATGAGTTTGACACACCTGGCTTAAAGTGACAACTCTCTTGTTGACATTACTTACCTTCTGTCTTTCAACCACTTTGAAAACCTTTTCTTCGTCTCTTCAACATCTTTATCCCTCCCCCTCTTCCGCTTTCTGTTGTGTCCCCCAGAGTTTTTTTCTGCCGCCCCGTCTTTAGCTCCCTGTTGTCGAGTTTGTTACTACAATTCAAATTTAAAAGGATCAAAATAACGCGCCTCAGTGCGTTCTCGAAGGGACGTCGCTCAAGCTACCTTTACGGGAGGGGAAAGCGGCTGCTAGAAGGGGAGGGGCGTCTAATCAGTGCTGTTCCTCTGTTATTGATCATTTCATACACAGACAGCTGTTAAGTACATAAAATGCTGGCTAAAAAAAAAAAAATTCCCCACATCGTTTTTGCGCCCCTATGCGTTGCACACAGCGCATACCCACTTTTTGCGTCACTGCTGAAACATGGTGGTGGAAGCTCCATGCTGTGGAATGCTTTTCTGTAATAGGACGGATCTAATAGTGTGGCGCTAAATACAGGGGAGAAGTAAATTCATGAGCTGCGTACACTGTAAACGAGCCTCCTCGTTTACAACGTGCTTCAACGGACAAACGAGTAACAATACGCGCAGTCATACAATTTCAGCTTCCAACTTTAGCATTTCGTGACCTAAGATAAAGAAGTACGCACATTTCTTTTTAGAAATTAAGAACATGTACTGCGTTACAGATGAGTTCTTACCCATTCAGCACCTGCGTGGTGCGATTTTTCAAGCTAACACCTATGCAGTATTAGTTTAAAGCTTCCGCGCCCTAGTTTCTATAGCAACAACGTTCTACGTTAGCTTACCTGTGGGATGTTGACGTTTACAGCTTCGACATCCACTCGAACCTCTGACAGCGGCGGCGGGGGCTCAGACTTGGCGAAGCCACCGTACGAGCCGACGATCTCTAGATCGGAGTCGTCTGAGCTGAGGGAGATCACTTCTTCCATCTCTTCCCCTGTCATCCGGCGCCTCACACGGAGCAGAAGGTCTACGAGAGCAGGAGGGCGGCCGCTCACGCAAGCTTCACCTTGTCATGCGGACCCCGCGGTGGCTGGCACTGCCCCGAACAAAGACGATCTGTCGTCAATGGGGAAAATGCCCATTGTGTTTTTCACAAAACACATGACAACCCCTCTGCCGAGGCGTCAAACAGTTAGCATTTCCTGGTTAGAATTCCACGCCACACTCAAAGAGTCGGCCATTTCTGGCGTTCAAATGAACCACCTCAAAACGTCTCAGCAAACTGTAATCTCATAACAGCAGCACGAAAACGATAGGTATCGTTTCACCGCTTCCTTGTTTTCCTCTGTCATCTTTTTCCTCTGTTGTCTGGCGCGTCAAATAAAACTTTGCAGTTGCAGCTACCTCCACCTGCTGTACAGGAATGCAAAGGCACACCCTACTTTTGTCAGCCTTCCCTCCAATACAGGTATGCATAACACCAGGCCTGCAAACATGATCAATTCATATTTAAGACCTCAAAAATTATTAGTGAAACAAATAAGTGTGAAGGATTAAAGGAGGGCCCTTAGTTTTTGTTTAATGTAACTGCCGTTAAAAAGCTGTAGGGGTTTTTTTGTTTGTTTGTTTTTTTTTTGTAATAGTATGGTAACAGAGTGAGTGAGGGAACAAGGTTAATAACAGTGATTGAAGTTTATTTGACTGGTGAAACAAGTGTGATTATCATTTTTCTTGATGAGATAAAAGGGTGGAAATAATAAATCATCATTATGCCATCAGTTACCGGCCTTCTATATGAACTAGAAGCTATAATGATTTATGTTTTGTTTTTTTTTCTGTGCTAGAATGCCCCTTTCACAAAGGGTGGTGGAAGACAGAGGGAGTCAAAGACCAACTTCACTCCACGTCATACATGAAACGACTGCAGAACTAGAGAGCTCCTACAGAAGTAAACTACTTGTAGGTGCACAAAAGAGTATTATCTCAGGTCCCCCCCACCCAGCAACTCCTAGACATGATTATAACCCTATGCCCCCCAGTATTTTTTCTTATGTTGTAAGAAAAAATTCACAGTCTCATATTTCTTCTTTTTTTGCAATCTTTTGTGACTATGCATTCATCAATTTTTCTGTCCCTTTGCTGCTGGTACACAATTTCCTTCTCTAAGGGACAATGCAACATATTCTATTCTATTCTATTCTATTCTATTCTATTCTATTCTATTCTATTCTATTCTATTCTATTCTATTCTGAGTGGATATGTTGTCTCATTTGTCACCACTGGATGGCACTCGTGCTGTTCGAAAGACGGAGAAAAAACATGACTGTATATTTTTATGCATGCACATAATGCTCCTAGGTTTTTTAGAAATATCAAATGTAGAGTTCCTCCAATCTGATTTTCACTTTTTCTTCTGCTTTTAACTTTTCTTAAGCACTTATGTGAATATGCTCGCTTCAATTTTCTCTTCAATTTGTCTCCATGGCAGCTGTCTGTCAAGAAAAGACTCTTTATCTCAAATTTATAAATTTCACAAATTAATCACATTTATGTAATTGTCAGGCAAGTATCAACAGGGTGAACCCAGCGATTTAAGCTATAACACCTGCACCCACAAAATTACTGCCGCCTTGGAGGTTTTATGTTTTTTTTTTGTTTGTTCTTTGTTTTTACAAATAGATGATTTTACTATTTTTTTTTATTATATTTCTTCTTATTACACGCATTGTTAAATCCCACTTGGTTTGTAGAAACACAATGATTTTGCGAGTCATTCTTTTTTTTTTCAAAGAAATTTACATTTTGATTTCGGCGTCTCATGTAATTGGGTGAAAAGGGTTATTAACCTCAGATGTCTCCAACCATTTCACGCTGTGAGGAAATATCAGGCAGGATGAGTCACTGCCATCAGACACATACAACCCTCCTGACATCCATTCAGCAGGGTGAAGACTTTATTAGGGTGGTTAATACGTATAAGCTGTGTTTATATCTGCATAAACCGTGTGCCTTGGAAGTCATCTTTTGGCTTTTTAGCATTACAAAACTGCTGTACAAATTTTGCATCGGAAATTAGCCTAAAATGTAAATTGAGGAAAATTATATTTATTGCACAGCAGTGTTTTAAGTCCAGGGTCATTTGTATCAGTTTATTTGGCATGAGAACATAAAGAAAACAAGAAAATTTAAATCCAACATACATGGAAGTGAGTGCTAGCACTACATTTGTTTGATCATTAGAGCTGTGAAGAAAACTGAAGTCATCAAACCAAATTGCACTACTGCACATTTTCTTGTGTTTCGGTGGGTTTAAAGAAATTCACTCAGGCATTGTCTTTCTCCATATCTAATATTGAAGCATATGTAATTTCATTTCTGCTTGAGCCACACTACTTTCAGAGACCATGCATACTGCATACTGATGGAACAGCTACATATTTTAAGCAAATGATATGTAAATGGTGAAGCAATCACCTGAGAATAGTGTCCCTTAAAAGGCCGTAAATGCACCTCTTTTCAGTATTTTTGTACTTTCAACCTATAAATCTCCTTTTGACACTATCTATAGACTTTGTGTACTGACTTTGAAAAATAGAAAGCACAAAATCCTGACATGGATATGAACTGGCCGACAGGACAATGTAGCAGGACACAACAAGCAATTGTAAACAGCTGTAAACTTGGCAGCATGATAGGTTTCTTGATCAGAAGATTGAAAGGAGGTCAACTACAGACGGAATATCACAATGGATTGTTTTGGAGACAGATTTGGAGTGTTTAAATTTATAATGCTATCGTCTGGAAGTCATGAAGAGTTGGACCAATACATGCTTGGGATACAACAATGGGTACTTGGAGCTGACTAAGCAGCTCAAGCCTTGGCAGCCCAAATGAATATGTTTGTCATTTATAGTAATTTCTGTTATCATGTGAGATGAGATGAGCATTTTGTGGGTGTTCAGCTGAGAAATGTTGTCTACAGTGTCTTTAGGTTTGAGACTTCATTATCATTTTAACTGATCATTTTTATTGACACATATATCGACTTTGCTGAGCATTATTGTCATTCAAGACTTAACAAAGTAAGCCAATTTATTAGATAATGTAACCGTTGGCCACTCCACCTGACAATTATAGTTCTTTCTTTCTTGCTAAAGCAGCTTTTTGTCACCCACCCTTTCATTCCTTGCTACTTAATAACTATTCAGGAGAAAACAGGACTCATTGTTTACTCCTACCAATGTTCCTATAGCGTTTTTGTATGCATACCATGGATTTTCAGCCAGCCTCTGTGCTGTCAACTTTGGGAACAGAGGTGTCGCTTCTGCATCAGAAGACATACTGGTCGGTCCGTGTATGTACACACTATGTTCCTACAAAATTGGAAATTCTGGCATATTCCCAACAAAGAAAACTGGTAAGCAAACAAACAAACATAAAAATGCATAAGAATCACCTTCCCTCCAAATATCTCACTGTGCTGCAGGTTTTGTTCTCCTGCAGTATCATTTTCAATATATGGTAAAAATAAAACTTTTAATGACCTGTCTCAAAATATGGTAAAAAAAAAAAAAAAATATATATATATATATATATATATATATATATATATATATATATATATATATATATATATATATATATATATATATATATATATATATATATATATATATATATATATACATATATGTAATGTATGTTACATACTTTAACACACATTGAAGAGGAAATACTGTTTTAGAGGTACACAAAGATATGCTGGTGTTTATCAATGGCTGGCTAATCATGTTTATATATATATATATATATATATATATATATATATATAACACCTGACCTCCATATGTCCATATATGACAAAATACTTCCATCCAGAAACATTCACGTGACTTCAACAGCAGGGCAGCCTGACCTATTTTCTAATAAATTCAGATAATAACTTTTTGACCACTTCGGGGCACTTCTGTACTGTATGGACTAAAATTAAACTTTGATATCCACTTTATAAGGCAATCATTACATTTGAAAAAGATAAATCAGATCAGGAGTTCATCACCGTCACATAAATGTCATACATTAAAAAGAACTGACATTTCACAAAATGGGCTTAATTTACTCATGTCTAAATCCAAATATAACTTGTTCATTGGTACATCTACATCCATGCTAAGATAAGAGACAGTGTGACAGTAGCTTTATAACCCATTAAAATGCTCTGTTTTATATATATTAACACACATTGAAGAGGAAAATACTGTTTTAGAGGTAAACAAAGGTATGCTGGTGTTTATCAATGGCTGGCTAAATTGTGCATTGTTAATGTTTCATCTGAAAAATATAGATTTAAAAATCATAAAGAAAATCCATAAACAAAAAAAAACTGTTTGTTTGGTGGATACATATCTTGCCTTCCTCTCAAAAAATGAAATAAATAGAATGAAATGTGAAATGGCCAAAACATGACAGAATTATAGAATAAAGTCCTTATAGAGCCTGCTGTTTTTGCAGGTATTCTACATTCAATATGATCAACTCAACTCCTCTTCTCTCCCCTCTTCTGGAGGTCAGGTGTTTTTGAAGATGGTTGCATAATATAGTATTCATCCTGACATTTCACAGTGCCACATTCAACAAACCAACACTCTGGCAATCAGTAAACTGTTAGAAAAACAGTTATTTATCAAACAATAACACTTACTAACCCTTCTATTAGGACAGAGATAGTTTGAAACAGTCAATCTTTTTTTAACCTTTAAAACAATGAGTAGCATCATCCTGTCAGCCTGTTTTATGTTGTGTTACGTTGAGTTGCATTGCATTGAGTTGTGTTGTGACAAGTTGACTTGCGTTGCATTACACCAAAATTTGTGTAGAATTTGAAGCTTGTCATTTATTCACAGTAATAGGCCGTTTTGATGTGCTGACTTGGCACACACTATCCTATATTGAGATAAGCATGAAAAGTTTTATAGCATAATCAAGTGACTATGTTACCTTCAGTTGTTCTAAAAATGCTGTATATGTCAAACATGATTTAAAAGGAATTTTGCAATAAAACACCTTGAAACTGAACCTCTGTCTGCCTGCAGCTTTTGGAAGGAGCTTGTTGAAAATGTAGCACTTTGTTATGCGACTTTTTCTCTGCATGTAGAGAAAGGGAGAGATTGAAGGATTTCTCCAACATGCATGAACACTCCTTTACAACCCATCAAAACACTCCAAAGCAGCACTCCTGGTATGTTTTTGATGAGTAACATTGTAACATGATGTACAGCTAAAAGAAAAGTAAATTTGACATATTACTGCCTCATTCAAGAACTGCCTCTGTATCTAGAGTTGAATAAATTCCAAAGCAGAAAAGGCAGGTTTTACATGAATAGATGAGATGCCCAATTTAATTTAAAGAGGATTACGTTCATTCTTCACAAGATAAAGGGATGAGTTAAGTAAGACCAAAAATAGTTTAAAAAGTGTCTGTTCAACACTGGATTAATTGTGCTTGCCCCATCATGTCACAGACAAATCCTAGACACTCTGCAGCATCATTATGCTACCAAACCCCCTCATTCATTATACCTTCTTTGCATTCCTCTGTTTGTTCAAACCAGAGCATATTGATGGGCTCCCACTTTGGGCCCACAAAGAGCTTGTTGGATATTGTGTATTTAATGGCCTGACAACAGCATTGGTTTGCATGAACCTAGTTTATTTTTATAATGAACATAGCTCTGGCTTGAATCGGGATACTAAACTGTGTGCTCCCATTTAAACTAACGCATCATGTTGATTGGTTTGAGCATTAATGCTTCAGTTAAGCATTTAAGCTTCGTGCATTTAATCAGTAAGTGCTGTGATATGGTTTTCACATTTCATCTCTAATTTCTTAAAACCTTTCTGATGCTTGATCAGAGATTATAGTACAATAAAATCAATGACACAAACAAAAAACACACACAGAACCTCTACCAAACAGCAAGTATCAAAACAAATCTGATGCCAAAAAACACTGTTGGCTGACAGTTCACTACCAGAATGGAGCTTTGTACATGGATGCTTATCGTGCATTCATGGGGTGTCTGGTGAATTATGTGTTGCTGTTGCTTGTTGCCACAGGGCAGCAC